ACAAAATCAAAATTAAAAATGAAGATAGTCTAAACCAATTATTGGCATTTCCCTTTGTTTTTCCTCACTCTTGTTTATCCTTCTTTCCTTCCTTCCTTCCTTCCTCCTATTTCGTTGTTCTTGTTCTTCTAGTTCTCTCTCTCACTCTCACTCTCCCCCTCCCCTCCACCCCTGTTTGTCTCTCTTTGTCTTTCTCCACTCTAAATTTAAATGAATTAAGGGCTTCAAATGGGTGGATTAACCTGGATTATCTATCTCCTAAATGTCATCCCAAGTGTCCTTCTGCAAGACAGGCTGAGAGAAATTGAAAAAAAAAAAAGAAAGTCACGTGAAGACAGAGGCAAAGACAGCCGTGATGGGGCCACAAGCCCAGGAAGCTAAAGGAGGCAAGGTCCATCCTTGAGATCTTTGGTGGGAGCAAGGCTTTGCCCATAACTTGATTACTACATGCTTAATTGCCATACAAGACAATTTCAGATCTCAGTCTTCTGTACCTTGGAAAGTGTGGCTTTGAGCCACCAGTGTGTAACAATTTCTTGTAGTAATTTGATTATGTGGAAAAAAATTTTAGTGAATGAGTTTGCAGAGGACGTTGACAGTAGGAAATATACTGTGAGGAGAGCTGCCCAGGGTGTGACTGCAAGGGGAACTGTGCATGTGGGGAGGAAGAACCCAAGACGGGGCCCTCTGGAATTGGGGAGAAAAGGACTGAACCCAAAGAGCCTTGCAGTGTGGGAGGAGGGAGCAAAGAGCAGGGGAAACAGCAACGTAAGGAGGAAGGCGCCCGGGACACAAAGACACCCATGGATGTGGTAGAGACTTGAGAGCCATGAGCCCATCCAGTTCTGCAGACCTAAGCCGAGGGCCTAAGGAGGGACATTTGGGGCTGCAGTAACCATGGGCAGACCAGTGCCTACCTGAGCATCCAGGCCTATACCCTGTGACCTCTGTCCTGCCTGCTCATCAATCACTGCCGACCACACCACCCATGAGAGGGGGCTCTGAGAAACATGGGAAAGGAGCAGGAGTGCATTATTCCTGCAGCCCATGACCGGAGTCACCAAGCATAACTCCAAAGGCTCACACTTCCTTCCCAAACCCTGAATGGGGCCCAGAGTGCAGCAGCCCACCCAAGGCCAAGGTCTTGGCAGTGTCCTCAATGTTGTTCTCCTCTGCTTCTTGCCCCCCTCTCTCACCTCCCCCCCGTTATTGTTGGCAGAGGTTGATGGTGTTCCTTGAGTGTCTCGTGGTGAGGCTGGACACAGCTCCCATTAGACTGCATTCCTCAGATGTGACAACTGAATCCCCAGGGAGCCTCTCCCTGCCCTCTGGGGCCAATGAGACCTGACTTGTGCCTGACCTGTCACCAGGAAGTTAGGCCACTTCAGTCTGCCTTCAGGGAGCTACCTATGGCCTGAGAAAGGAGCATCCAGAATTCTCTTGACTCCCAGTCACAGGAAACCTAGCTGTAGATCTTACCCAGCAGGGCTGCTGCTATGCTGATCCAGAGCAAGATGTTAGGTGCCTGGCCCTGCATTCTTCCACCAGGGCTTTCTCACCAAACTTCTGGAGGATTTGCTGATGCCTCGCTGAGGAGTCTCCAGATGCTAGGAGACAGCAGGGGAGCTACTGGATGTGCTCATGCACTATCATCTCAGGGTTAACATGCAAAGCATCAGAAGGGCCTGGGAGAGATTGGTGCCAATGTACCTGTCACACACGCAAAATTGATCATCTGAAGTGTCACATCTATGAACAGTGTGGACCTTTCAGTGCCCTCCTTGGCCAGGAGGTAAATAGAGACAGAGGGCCTGGAGCCTCCTTTGTCCTGTCTACCTTTGGGACTGTGAATCCACCCACTGCTCACCAGGCCGTCTACACCATGGTCCTCACCCAATCCCCCTAGTGCTGAGCTTCATGGCTTCTGTGTAGAGGGGACCTCCCCCCACATAAGTGCACAGAACCTTCCCCTTGAATCCTACCTGCAGAAGACCTTTTGTCCTAAGGCAGGATACTGCCAGGCCTACAGCAGGTCCTTTGCCCCTCGGTCTATAACTCCAGTTGACAGCAGTGGGGCCAGATTGGCCTGGCTCTGCCCCAGCCATGGCCATGACTGCTCTCAGAACACTGCCATGCCCACCTTGAGACTTGGCACCCCTGGAGTACACATCTGTCAGCAGGTCTCATCCTCTGCCCTCAATCCCTGTCCCCAAGACTGAACCAAGATGAAAGGTGAGAAGCAGACACATGACAGAGGGTAATGGG